GGGCGGGTCGGGCGGGCTGGCCCTAACTGGCAGGTCGGGCGGGCGGGGCATTCAAGCAGACGGGAGAGCTTTCAAGCACCCGGACAGGCGGACCCTGACGGGCAGGTCGGGCGGGCGGACTCGAACGGATCGGGCGGGCGGGCGGACCCTGACGAGCGGGTTCCTGGGCGAGTGGAGCGCACCGCCTCAGTACATTGCAAAGAAGCCATGGGCGAGAGCGTGAGCGTGAGCCGTTCTAGTGGTATTCCAGCAGGTAAGAAATTCAATATGAGACTTAAGACTTCTCCTGATAAGAAACAAGATGCGAGACCCGGGGGGCACTTCCATTGAAAAACAATGCGAGCTGGACGAAGGGGATCAATAACAATTATTCCTCCAACATGAGAGTTACATCAGTCTAAGACAGCTCGATGCCAATGGTTTCCATATCATTACTGTGCCCTCTTCGTCTATGAACGAACCCCCTTTCGAGGGCACATTTGTTATGCCAGCTACAGGGTGCACCCCGACAGGGTAAGAGAAGCGGATCGAGCCGAGATCCTCCAGGTATGGTGAGGTCATGCCCCTCCCGGGGTGAGGCCGTCTCTGGGGTACGCCCGCCCTATCGAGGCTGCTTCCATTCGCCCTTTAGGTCCCTCCAGGCCCTGTTCGTGTCTCGCTTCACTTCAGCTCAGCTGGCGGTTACTGCGAGCACGCAGCGCAACTCGCTGCCGAGCAGAAAGCGGAGCAGGAGAGGGGAGGAGCAGGAGGACGAAGAGGAGGAGGCGGAGGAGAAAAGAGAGGGAGGAGGAGGAGGAAGAGAAGGAGGAGGGGGAGGAGGAGGAGGAGGAGGAGGAGGAGGAGGAGGAGGACGGGGAGAAGGCGGAGGAGGAGGAGGACGAGGAGGAACAGGAGGGGAAGGAGGCAGGAAGAGAAGAAGCGGGCGAAGAGGAGTCCTCCTCCACTGCCTCCTTCCCTCCCTCCCTCATCTTCGGCGGTCCTCGTCCCCCGGATCGCCTGGAGCGGCGACGCGTCGGCGGACGCGCCTGGCACCTCACCGAGGAGATCGCGTTCCCTCTTCTCCTCCTCATCATCCTCCTCCTCCTCCTCCGACTCCTCCGACTCCTCCTCCTTCTCCTCCTCCTTCTTCTCCTCCTCCTCCTCCTCCTCCTCCTCCTCCTCAACATCGTCGTCATCCTCCTCCTCCTCATCCTCCTCCTCCTCCTCCTCCTCCTCCTCCTCCTCCTCCTCCTCCTCCTCCTCCTCCTCCTCCTCCTCCTCCTCCTCCTCCTCGTCCGCAGCCAGAGTGCCGAGGGCATCGCGCTTGCAAGCTGCACGAGCCGCCTGGTACCGTACCGTAGCACCGTGGAAGGATCAAGGCTTGCGCTTCGTCTTCTGGCAGCTTCTAATTCGGGCCATCTGCGGCAAGATGTTCTGCTGCCTGGTCGACAGGGCAAAACCACCACTTGCATTACCGCCCCAGCAGGTGAGCATGAGCCGGCATCCCCAGGAGCAGCAGCAGTCGCCCGTCACACCCTGGCGGGGCCGCCGACGCCTCCGCCGCCAGCGCGAGCCGCCCATCACACCGAGCGCCTCTGGCAGACGAGGATGTGCTGGCATCCCCTGACACCCGCAAGGGTTCATAAGGCGATGCCTGCACGTCGAGCGCTTCTAAGTGGACGCCGGCGTCTCACGGTGTCCGTCCTGCGACAGTAGTGGCAGTTAGCCATTATTGTTGCAGTGGGGATTCGATGCTACCTCACGGATTGGCGACCTAATGTGTCTGAAAAGAGTCCTTGCAAGCTCGCTGCTGCCTCACTGGTTGGCGACCCAATGTCTCTGAAAAGTGCCCGCTTCAGCTCGCTGCTACCTCCTGCATCGGCGATCTTGTGCGTGTGAGGGGTATCCTTCCGAGCTCGCTGCTACCTCATGGGTTCATTCCGACACCCTCCGACCGTGCGGCGGCATCCGCCTTCGACCGACTGTGTTGCAACGCGAGCGAGGGTGCTCGATGTGGGTTGCCATCCATGGAAGAGCGCCCCGGAAATTTTGGGAGGACCGCAAGAGACCACTGGAACTACCCAAAGACCGAGAAGCACCACTGGAATGACCTCAGGGCCGTAAGCGTTACCGCAATGGAATAGCGCAGAAGTCAACAAGGCGTATTTAGACATCCTCCAAGTTTGGGCTGTGCCCCATCGCTATGTGTCCTGGTGCTGGCTTGCGGTCGCGCCCGACTGCATATGTTCCTTGTTTTGCGCACAGTGTGTAGGCATCCATCGCCAGGGCAGACGCCCCTTGCCTAGCCGCCGACGCACAAAATGTTGCGCACTGTCGTGTCTACCGCTTCGCGCGGCCCACTCCCCTGGGCCGCCTGAGACGCAGGCTGGGGCTCCCTTCGTCGGAGAGGGTAGCTGTCGGAACAGGAGTACCACCCTTGCCCTTCGGGGTGAGAGCCTTCAGCAAGACGGCGCGCTGGCTGCTGCAATGCCAAGTCCGACTGACCTCCTCCCTCCTCCCCCTCCGACTCCTGCTCCCTCCCCCGCTTCCTCCTTCCTCCTCCGCGCTCCTCCCCCATCATTTCTGATCCCTCCTACCCCCTCCTCCTCCCTTCTCTTCTTCCCTCCTCCCTCCTCCCTCCCCTCCCTCCTCCTCCTCCTCCTCCTCCCTCCTCCTCCTCCTCCTCTCCTCCTCCTCCTCCTCCTCCTCCTCCTCCTCCTCCTCCTCCTCCTCCTCCTCCTCCTCCTCCTCCTCCTCCTACTCCTCCTTCTCCTCCTCCTCCTCCCCTCCTCCTCCTCCTCCTCCTCCTCCGCCTCCTCCTCATCATCATCATCATCATCATCAGCATCATCATCAGCAGCATCATCATCATCATCATCATCATCATCATCATCATCATCATCATCATCATCATCATCCTCCTCCTCCTTCTCCTCCTCCTCCTCCTCCTCTTCCTCCTCCTCCTCCTCCTCACCATCATCATCATCATCATCATCACCACCACCACCACCATCATCATCATCATCATCATCATCAGCACCATCATCATCATCATCATCATCATCATCATCATCATCATCATCAGAATCAGAATCAGCATCATCATCGTCCTCATCAGCAGCAGCATCATCATGATCAACATCATCAGCATCATCATCAGCATCGTCATCAACATCACCATCATCGTCATCATCATCGTCATCATCATACTTATCTTCATCATCATCACCACCACCGTCATTATCATCATCGTTACCATCACCACCACCACCAGCCTCCTCCTCCTCCTCCTTCTCCTCCTCCTCATCCTCCTCCTGCTCCTCCTCCTCCTCCCTGTAGCTCCCGAGCCCCACCCCGCGGCGCGCGCGCGGGCCCGAACGAGCGCCTTCCGCACCGTCGGCCTCGTCGCCACTGCCCGCCAGGGTCGCCGCTGGGCTGGCCTCAACAAGGGGCGGCGGCGGCGTCGGCGGCGACTCAGACATCTATGGCAGCTTCATGTGGCGATGACGTCGGCATTGGTCTCTGGCACCCCATGGATTGATGGGTAAATTCTCCGCCACCACTACCATAAGTAGGACGGAGGAGAAGGGAGGATGGAAGATCCTCCTCCTCCTTCTCCTCCTCTTCTCCTCCTCTTCCTCCTCCTCCTCCTCCTCCTCCTCCCCCTCCTCCTCCTCCACCCTTTCCTATCTATGGTAGTGGTGATGGAAAATCGGCCCATCATGGATCGTTCAACCTCGAGCGATAGAGGCTTCCCGACAGCGCAGACCGCTCGGCATCGGCTGGTGCTCGAGCTGGAACGCACGAGCTGGAACGCACGAGCTGGGCCACCGGCGGCGCTCGAGCTGGAACGCACGAGCCGGCGTCGCCGCCGCGTCAGCGCGGCGCGAACCTGCCGTAGATCGCCTGACTTGGCGCATCGCGACCCGCGATGCGCGACGCGCGATTATCTTGGCGCCGACGCACCCTCCCGCCTCAGCGCCGCCCTCGTGGAGAAGGGAGGCCGCTCTGACCCAGACCGCGGCGCGCGAGGCGCGAATTATCTTCGCGCCCCCGCGGGTGACCAAAAGACATCCGATGTCTCGATTTGTTCCATGCCGTGACCCTGAAGTCCCGACCCCTTCTCCTCGGAAGGCGTTTCGTCGTGGGCCTTTTTGTGGACGGCCCATGGGGACCCCCAGAGGCCGAAATCGACGAAGAGCCTCCGACTTGATTTTGTTCAATACGGTGGGGGTCTAAGGGCGGCGGCTGCGGCGGCGGCGACGTCGGCGCCAGCGACGTCGGCGCTGGTAACGCCAGGCTGGCCTCCATCGGGTTGGGGCCGGGCCTTTGGTCGCGAGCTCGGCCGTCCCGCATGTCCTCGGCCGCACGCACAGAGGAGGTGGGGGGGCGCAAGGGGTGGTCTTCTGAGGAGGGAAGTCGTTCCCCGACCACGGCGACGACCCACCACGACCACAACAATGACCACGACAGCGGCGACGGCCACGACGGCCACGACGGCCAAGACGACAAATGACGGCCACGACGATAGACGACGACGACGACGAAGACGACGACGATGACGACAAACAACGACGACGGCGACGGCGCGACGACGACGGCAACGACAACGACGCCGTGCAGGGGATAGGGCGAAATGGGCGGCCTTCTAAAAAGGCAGGGGGCTTTTACGGAAGGGCCTGGAGGCTTCCAAGAAGGCTCCTTGAAACCGAGCGGCCACAGCTGGGGGAGCTGTGCCCCTCACCCGTGGGGAAACACGTGGTATGGGCAGTCTCTCGAGAGGGGCATCGAAGACGATGGGCCACCCTCGGGCACACGCTAACATGGATTAGAGATCCGTGGATCCGGCGCGTTGGCGCCAAATCCCATGGATCGGGGAGAGGTGCCCCCGAAACATGGGGCCCGTACCGCCCGATTCGGCGACGAAGCGCGTTGACTCTACACGGGAACGGGACCCGTCGCGAATCCACGCTCCTCACCAATCCGCGCTTGCGCTGCCCCGACCACTTCCCTGGGACCGGTTTTTCGTTTTGAACTTGTGACGGTCCCAAGGCCTCAACGGCCTCGAGAGGCCGAAAACTATGAAAAACCTCCGTCTCGATTTTTCCTGGCTCCTGGTCGTCCACGCTTCCTCGACACCTGGAGGGAGGGGGGGGTGGAAGGAGCACAGCTCCCCCCACCGTGTGGCTGGCCTGTGGAGCCTCGAGGCCGCCCGAACCTCCCCACGGGACCCGCCACGGGCGTCCGGCGGCCCGCCCCGCAGGGCGGCCGCGGCCCCTCGCAGCCCCTCCGACGAGCCCCAGGCGGAGGAGGCGGCGAGCCCTGGCGCCGGGTCGGAGAGCTTTCTCCAGACTCGGCAAGGGTGTCAAGGGGACGAGGAGGAGAAGACGTGGAGGAGGGGGAGGAGGAGGAGGAGGAGGAGGAGGAGGAGGAGGAGGAGGAGGAGGAGGAGGAGGAGCCCCTCACCCTCTCGGAACCCTCTCATTTCCCCGCGGGCGGGCCGCCGAACCCCCCTCCCGCGCGCGCGCCACCGGTGTCCAGCTCCATCTCGGCGGCGAGGCGCTGCTCGACAGTCATGCGCGGCTGCTCCGAGTCGTCGAGCATCTCTGGGTCGTACTGGTCGAGCTCGCGGTCCTCCTGGTAGTCCTGCGCTGGGGTGCGCCCCCTTACGTCGCGGCCGTCGGCGTCGTTATCGCTGGAGGCTCTTCGAACCCGTCTCCTCAGGGCCTCGTCGCCGCGGCGGGGCGAGGGCTCGACGAGCTGGCCAGGAATGACCCCGAGAGGGGCCCAGGGACCGATCTCGAGCCTGGTGCGGAGGAACAGCTGGACACACGGTGCCGCCCGCTGGCCGGCGCTGCACCTCGGAGGCCCCCTGTCGAGGGGGGTCCACGAGGACTGTCTCCAGCAGGAGGAGGAACCGCCGACGACGAGGACGACGACGACGACGACGACGACGACGACGACGACGACGAGCTCGTGCTCGTACACTCATCGTGCAGGTCATACGGAACAGCATTACGAGAGACGACGGGGCTTTTCGGGCCACGGTGAGCCTCGGTCACGAGTATCGGGGGCGTCCAAAAGGGGGGCGTCCAAGAGGGGGGGGCGCAGATTGTGGCCTGCGGCGTGGGCGCGGCCCAGGGGGGGGGGCCAGGGACGTATTGAAATGAGAAAAGGCGCCATGAAATCTGGGGAGATCTCATGGCCCCCGCCATGAGATTCACCCCACCCCCCTAGTCGTCACCCGTCTCTCTGCCGCCCCCGAGAGCAGGCTCCCAGACTGAGACCTGGCGCGAAAACCACAGCCCCTGCGCAACCCGCAGGTGGCCCCAGCTGCCGAGCCGTGCCGCGCCCGAGCAGGCCCCCAGCCCGAGACCAAAGGCGCAGCGCGACAGCCCGAGCCCATAGTTACTGAGCCCGACGTGGCCCCCAGCGGCAGCGCCCTGCCGCGCCCTGCCGCCTCAGACCAGCCAGCGGCGCCGCCGAGGGGGGCTGGGCCGCCGACGGCGGGGGGCACCCTGGCCGGCCAGGCCCTCCGCCGCAGGCTGCCGCGCCACGCGACGCGGCTGCACGCCGCCGCAGGCCGCCGCGCAGGCCGCCGCCGCCGCAGATCGCCGCCGCAGGCTGCAGGCCTGCACGCCTGCACGCCTGCACGCCGAGGTCGTCCGCCGCGGGCTGCCGCGCCACGCGCCGCTGCCCGGGCGCTGCCCCCTCCCGACGCCGCTGCCCGCTCGGCGGAAAGAGGGCGGCGGGGTCGGGTGCGCTGCACAGTGGGGGCACCCCCTGAAGCCTCCCGTGGGGGACCTGCTCGAGCTGGGGAGGGACGGTCAGGTCTGGGCTCGAGCGATCTTGGGCCTGGTCGTGAGCACGCAGGTCGACAGGACTGCTCGGGCACGTGCAGCCCCTGACTAGGGATACTGTCGGACCTAGGGCAAACGAACATCCTTCAAGAACGTGAAACCCTGCGCCGGCCAAAACACACAGAACATGGAATGGTACCCTCTCCAGGATGCACAAGAACATCCAACATACACGAAGAACATCAGAACACCCTCCCTGAACGAACCTCGATCTGACACCTCGGTCCGACCGCATGCGCGGCGCTGGGGCAGAGCCTTCAACGCGGAGCGGCCTGCCAGGGAGGCGTCCATACAGCTCCACTCTTCGACACTCCTGGGCTACCTTCGTGGACGGGCCCTTGCCCTCAGGAACTACCGCCCTGCCCCCTCGGGAGAGCAGTCTCTCTACGAGGGGAGATCTGTTCGTCTAGGAGCCCCAAGTCCATGTCTGCAGATCCTACAAGCACTCTGAGGGGTAAGTGGCTCAGGACGTGTCCTCTGTCAGAGCAATACATTATTCCCCTTCGGGGAGGGTGTCACCCGAGGCGCCAGAGCGTCTAACATGGCTTTAGACGGCCCCGAGATGACCCCAAATAGCCCTTCATTGCCTGCGATGCATAGCAAGCTGGGCCAAGATGGCCTCCACCATACCTCTGAGATCCCAGAAATAGGTACCAAGATGGCTCAGATGTGGTCCTCGGGCCTCACAAGGATGCCCCCGGCAGGCTCAAATAGTCTGGATATGGCCCTAGGACTAATCCGAACTATGGGTGTGGGGGAACGCTCGTTGTTTTAAAAAAAGATCAAGGTGTTCAAACGTAAATGGAAATCCGCCGGCCCCCTTGTGGGGCCACCAGGCTGCGAGGCGCGTGATTCGCAGTTTCCTGTACCAGTTGTAGTTTGTAGTTTCCAGTGTTACAGTTCTGCTTCTTGCTGGTTACTGTAACTAGTTGACTTCTTGCTGGTTACTGTAACTAGTTGATTGACCGCGCGAGGGGGGGGGAGGCCCAAACGGGATTTTTAGCACCCCCTGGGCGCGTTGTCTGAATTGCTGGGGGGGCTCGAAATCGACACCCCTCACGCAGATCCGCGGGTCAGGGTCCAAAAACACAAGGGATTTGCCACATTTCTGAAATTCGGTGCCACCCCTCACGCAGATCCGCGGGGTCAGGGTCCAAAAACACATGGGATTTGCCACATTTCTGAAATTCGGTGCCACCCCTCACGCAGATCCGCGGGGTCAGGGTCCAAAAACACATGGGATTTGCCACATTTCTGAAATTCGGTGCCACCCCTCACGCAGATCCGCGGGGTCAGGGTCCAAAAACACAGGGATTTGCCACATTTCTGAAATTCGGTGCCACCCCTCACGCAGATCCGCGGGGTCAGGGTCCAAAAACACAGGGATTTGCCACATTTCTGAAATTCGGTGCCACCCCTCACGCAGATCCGCGGGGTCAGGGTCCAAAAACACAAGGGATTTGCCACATTTCTGAAATTCGGTGCCACCCCTCACGCAGATCCGCGGGGTCAGGGTCCAAAAACACAAGGGATTTGCCACACTGAAATTCGGTGGGAACCACGGGGATTTGACATTTCTGAAATTCGGTGCCACCCCTCACGCACATCCATCGCAAGGCGTGGTAACCCAAACTGCGAGTACTCCCTCGGCCCTTTAATCCCAAGGTGTGGTAACCAAGCTCGTAAACCATACACGTCTTACCAATCGCCCTGTGTGGTAACCCCTCTTGTGATCAGTTGGTTTTGCCGATTGCGAATCGGCCTCGCATGAAGTTCCGATACTGCTGCACGACAGCGCCAAAGCCTCATGACTTAGCTCTTCCATGGCCCATTCTCCGAGAGAGGGGGCCGGCGGCAGGGGGCGAAGCCCTTACGGATAACTTGAGAGTAAAAACGCGCTTTGTTGGACGCGAAGCGTGTTTCGAAAGCGTTGCTGTGCCATGTTATGCCCTGGTGCATACAAGCTGTGATACATATGCAGCTTGGGGTATGCAATCTGGACAACCCAATCTAAATAGGGCAAGATCATCTGCGAAGTCTGAGCTAAGCAAGTCAGGACATGCAGTATCGATAACAGATAAAACCTGAACTGGATGACATTGGAGAGGACGCAAGGTTGGAGCTGAAACTAGGGCTGGAGCCACAACTGGAGCTGAAGCTGGAGCTGAGGCTGAGGCGAAGCTAGAGATGGATCTGGAGATTGAACTGGACCTGGACCTGGGCAGGAGCTGGACAGGGAGCTAAAGCAGAAGGTGGAGGTGGAGCTGGAGCTGGAGCTCGAGCTCGAACTGGGGCTGGGGGTTAAAGAGGGCGCCAACAAGCAGTTTCTCGGGATCCAAAGGAGACGTGCTGATCATGGGTTCCTCCCTGTTCGCTGGATGACCTTCGGCATGGCCCCACGAGGGCACAAAAGGGCCCAAGAGAGCCCTAAAAGAGTGCCAAAGACTTGAAAGGGACCAAAGAAAGCCCCAAGAGATGATTCCCAGAGTCTCCCAGAGTGACCCCAGCTGACCATCATGGGAGAGGGGCATCCTTCCTTCAATTTGACTGGTGCCCCTTGTTTCATTGCTGCCCTGTCATTTCCATTCTCCCGACAGCTCGCTGAGGCAGAGTCTCTGGATGCCCTGATGAGAGACGCGAAGTGCCAGGAATGTCTGGCGTGGCCGGCTTGGCTCCGTCTCGAGCGCCCTCTCGTTGAATGCTTGCCCTGGGCAGGATTGCCGGCCCCCTGGATCTCACTGTCCCTCCAAGACATGGGCCAGGGTCTAGAAAGGCTCGAGGTCCTGCATCATGTTCTCTCCGAGGAGGTCCTCGCCATCTTCTTCCTCGTCGTCCACCACTTCTCCGCGCAGGAGGCGCTCCTCCTCCTCCTCCTCCTCCATCGGCTGCTCATCGCGGCGGTCGGCCATCTCTTGCACTCAGAATATCGGGAGCCTGCTTGACTCCAAAGCCGGTATATCTAGTGGTTGACACCAGCTGACGAGTCACCCTCGGCGACGGTAATTTGAGCCAAATAGGAAGCCAAGCAGACGATTCCGAGAACGTGGAGCAGAGATTTTTGCGGCTGCAAGCCTGCAGCACTCTTGCAAAGAGGCGAGTATTCCACAGCCTCCAACACCGTTGCCCCAACAACTCATCTGAAGAGTCGATCGTTCGCGCGAGCTTCACAGATCCGAACGCGCAACGACCACGCCTCACCGCCCTGGGAGCGCGACCATTCGGCTGCAAGTACTTCTCACAGCTCGCCCTCTCTCTCACTTTCTGTCTTTCTGTTTTCCTCTGTCTCCCACTCTCACTCTCACCCCCTCGGACCTATCCTATCACGTATGCGAAATGATGCGGGAGGAGGGGCAGCCAAAACTGTGAAGGCAAACCACGTGATGGACGTAATGTTGAGCGGGTAAATCCTGCTAAGGAATCCAAAGTTTCGGCCGAGCGGCAGACCTGACTGATCGGCAGTGGTACAATCGTGAGGGCCGAAGCTGAGATTGCGTTTTGCATAATGTCTCTCACTCCTGGGCAACGACCGTCGAATAGTTCGGTCGATAGTGTGGGTGCGGACTGGCGTCCTAGAATTGCAATTCGGGGAGGGGAAGAGGGGAGTGGGAAGTTCATTCCTCCATCCCTCTCTGCATTCCTCCCTCCGTCCTTCACCCTCTCCCAGGGGGGAACTATTCATCTGTCGCACCCATCTCTACATTTGAAACTGCTCGCTCGGGATGCTTGCCTCTGGTCTGGATGTACAATGCAGTACGAGTATGGCAAGCGGAATGATTATTGCAAGCGAAGAAACCGCACAGTGGTGCGGAGAGACTCGTCGAAACTCCCCCGAATCAAGCGAGGCCCCGAGCGCCTCAGCGAAATTGAGCGAGACCGCCCTATATCGACCGCCTGGAGATATCCCACGCCTGCTGCAATCCCGGCCCTGGTCCGTGAGGAGCTGTGGAAACCGATGTTCCCTTGGCTCTCTTGGCGTGAATGATTTCTGAAATTAATTTTTCAAACACCACTTCTTTCCATTCGGAGAGGCGCAGAGGAAGGGGGGACGAGAGGTTAGAGCATACAAGATGGGCCGAGATGAATCCAAGATGGTCCCAGATAGCCCAAGATGGCCTCCAAGATGGCGTCAGGCAGCATATGGTGGCTCAAGGTGGCCGCCAGCATTCCTCCAAGAGACTTCAAGATTGCCCCAAGACGGCTCCAAGTGGCCACAAAGCATCCCAAGGATGTCCCCGAGAGGCCGAGAGGCCAAAAACGTTCATCAACCTTTTAGCTTCCGATGGGCTTCCGAGGCCAAAGAAGGCTCCAATGTTGTCCCAGTGCCAGGAGGCCTCTAAGACGGTCCCAAGAACACCCAGGACGCACCGAAAGAGCGCCCCAACAGGGCTCCAATACGCGATCCGTTGGGCTCCGACGGGGGGTAATTGACCCCACTTCCTTTCTCCATCAACAGCATAGTTCAACTACCTCAGATGACTGAAAGAGTTAGGCCATTCGAGGGTATCATTGGGAAGCGTGTGGGCTCATCGTGCTCCAGGAAGGCGCCGGATGCCCTAAGATGGCCGCCAAAAGACCACAGGACGTCCTATGGTGGCCTACGGCATGCCTCCCAGAGGCTTCAAGACTACCTCAAGACGGTTCCAAGTGGTCGCAAAGCCTGCCAAGGACGCGTGCGAGAGGCCAAAATCTGTCACCTATCCTGGCGTTGTTCCAGGACGCGTGCCCCCGTAGGTGCCCAAGAGCCCTCTCAGAGACAAAACAAACTGTTACGATTGCTTTTGAACGGTTCGGACAGATTCGCCCTCTCGGTCGTTGGAGCGTCCAAGACGGCTCAAGAGGTGAGAGTGCTCAAAGGCGCCCCAAAAGGGGCTGAAGAGCGCCCCAAGGGGGCTCCAGGAGGGCCTCAAAGGGCCCAAGAAGGCTCTGTGAGGGCCTGAGGGGGCCACCAGACGTCCCAAGAGAGCTCCAGATGGCACAACCCAAGACAGCCCCAGAAAGGTCGGGCCCTCTCTGGGCAGTCGTGGGTCCGCCTTGAAGGTCGATGGGGCCATCTTGAAGCCATCTTGGGGGCATCTTGGGCCATTTGGGGTCCCTCTTTGGCCGTCTTGCGGGCCTCCTCTTGGGCCGTATTGCGAGCCTCCTGGCGACCTCTTGGAGCGATCTTGGAGTCTCATGGGGCCGTCTGGGTGCGTCGGAAGTCCCAGGAGCGAGAACGCTAAAACTATGCAAAAAAGCCCCAAGACGCCTCCAAACGCCTCCGAGACATGCCCCACTTGCGGACCAGCAGCCCCGAAGGGCAGGCCGCCGTGTCTCCCGTGCTGTGGGATCCAAACCGATCACCCCGACTCTTCCCAGGTCCAGGGCACGACTTCGAGGCGGCAGATGCTGAAATACGGAAGCGGCGGAAATTGTGTGGGCAGCCATCCCACGCGCATCTCCCTCGCCGCCGACACAAGCGGAGAGGCAGGGAGGGACAGGGCGAGAGAGGAAATGGGAAGGAGAGAGAGAGAGAGAGAGGTCGCCCCGTCGCCCCAGTCCACACGGCGTGGCTCGCCCACGCTCCCGTGGCCGATGGCAAAGGGGCCAGGCGCGCGGCCTCGGCGGCCCCAGGCCCGCCCTGGCACCGACGCCAGTCTGGGCGAAGGACACGCTCTCCAGCACCTTCCCCGGCCCCGTGCGCTGAGGAGCACGAGGACGAGGCAGATTGCCCATCACCCGCGGGCAGGCGCGCCGCGCACCGCACAGGGGGAGAGAGAGAGAGAGAGAGAGAGAGAGAGAGAGAGCGAGGGAGAGAGAGAGAGAGAGAGACAGCCCCACTGAGATCCTAAGAGACGAGAGAAAGCGAGAGAGAGAGAGAGGGAGAGAGAGAGACCCAAACAAAAAAAAGTGATAGAATGAGAGAGAGAGAGGGAGACACACAGACACACACACACACAAACAAACAAACAAACAAACAAACAAACAAACAAACACACACACACACACACACATACACACACACACACACACAGACACACAGACACACACACACACACACTTGTTTTGGCGTCGTGGCCCCGCGCGCAGCGACAGGGCGTAGCAAGGTCGGAAAAGACACACACACACACACACACACGCACGCACCGAGGCGGACACGCGTGTCCAGGCCGGCAGGGACAAGCGCCTGCCCGGCCGAGCTCGTTAGGGGCCGAGCGCAGCCCGTGTAAACGGGGGGTCCCCGAAGCAAGGGCACCCCTGGCGCCGAGGCGACTGACAGTGAGAGCGGCGTGGTGACAGGGGCGAACCCACGTCTGCGCACCGCGCAAAGGACAGGCTGCATCTTATCTAACCAGCGTTGGCGTGCTGGCGTCTACAGCTTGCAGTGCCGCACGCAGGGCATGCCCTACGCGGGCGGACGCGGAACCGTTGACAGCGTGCCAGGCGTCGCACGGGGCGAGAAGAAAGAGAGAGAGAGAGAGTGTGCGTGTGTCTGTGTATGAGAGAAAAGAAAGCGAAGCAACGCTGTAACTCACAACATCCGCCTCGGTGGGACCGCGACACGTCCAGGATGCGAGTGGCAGGCGGGTCAGCAAAATCTGCTCCCCCCCTCTGTACCGTGTTCCTCCTCCTCCTCCTCCTCCTCCTCCTCCTCCTCCTCCTCCTCCTCCTCCTCCTCCTCCTCCTCCTCCTCCTCCTCCTCCTCCTCCTCCTCCTCCTCCCCTCCTCCTCCTCCTCCTCCTCCTCCTCCTCCTCCTCCTCCTCCTCCTCCTCCTCCTCCTCCTCCTCCTCCTCCTCCTCCTCCTCCTCCTCCTCCTCCTCCTCCTCCTCCTCCTCCTCCTCCTCCTCCTCCTCCTCCTCCTCCTCCTCCTCCTCCTCCTCCTCCTCTCCTCCTCCTCCTCCTCCTCCTCCTCCTCCTCCTCCTCCTCCTCCTCCTCCTCCTCCTCCTCCTCCTCCTCCTCCTCCTCCTCCTCCTCCTCCTCCTCCTCTCCTCCTCCTCCTCCTCCTCCTCCTCCTCCTCCTCCTCCTCCTCCTCCTCCTCCTCCTCCTCCTCCTCCTCCTCCTCCTCCTCCTCCTCCTCCTCCTCCTCCTCCTCCTCTCTCCTCCTCCTCCTCCTCCTCCTCCTCCTCCTCCTCCTCCTCCTCCTCCTCCTCCTCCTCCTCCTCCTCCTCCTCCTCCTCCTCCTCCTCCTCCTCCTCCCTCCTCCTCCTCCTCCTCCTCCTCCTCCTCCTCCTCCTCCTCCTCCTCCTCCCTCCTCCTCCTCCTCCTCCTCCTCCTCCTCCTCCTCCTCCTCCTCCTCCTCCTCCTCCTCCTCCTCCTCCTCCTCCTCTCTCTCTCTCCTCTCTCCTCTCCTCTCTCTCTCTCTCTCTCTCTCTCTCGCTCCCCAGGGGGGACCTAGGCCCGCGAAATCCTCGTCCACCCGCGCGCGCGCGCCGCACCGCGCGTCCGCCGCCACGGCACCTAGAGGCCAAGACCCCGCCACCCAGAGAAGAGGAAGGACGCCTCCAGAGGGCCTCAGAGGAAAGGAAGAGGGCGGGGCCAAGGCCAAAAGGGCACTCCAGAGGCCACGAGGAGGAGGAAGGGGGGAGGTGCCTCTCGGGGGCCACGAGAGGGAAGGAGGCCTCAGGATGCCTCAGGAGACCTGACTCAGAAAGCCTCTAGGCACCGAAAAAGGCTGGCCCAGCACGACGCCGCCCAGTATGGGCGCCAGCGCCGCCGCAGCCCAGCCGAGGTTCTGCTGGCTGGGCGGCGCCATGCTAGGGCCAGCATTGCCCAGGCTGAAGTCGGCAACCTTCAACCTGGGGCCGCCCCACCCCCCACCCCCCGAGCAACAGGAAAACAGGGGGGAAGGGAGGACATAACCCCGAACGGACGAAACAGGGACGCGGGGGGAGGGCACATATTTCCCAAGAAACTCTACCGCGGACGGGGCCCGCTCTCAGCACCTTGTAGGCGCACTCGGGGGCCGCCGAAGGGCAGCATGGCGCCGCGGCGCCTCCGCCGCCACGGCCCAGGCGGCCCCGCCGCTCCAGGAGCGTCGCCTCCAGCGCCTCCTGCGGCGTCGCCTGCAGCTGCCGCAGGCTGCCCGCCGCGGACAACCACCTCGCCGTTGGGCTCCCTGGTGGTATGGCGCCGAGGCGCTTTACCTCGGGCGCCTCCAGCATACCCTCAGCGAGGTGCAGCGCGGCGGCCTGGCGCCTCCGCCAGGCAGCTTCGACCAGGTCCAAGGCCACCCTCATGGCATCGCTGTCGCGGCTGACCGCCCGTGCCTTGCCTCGGCGGCTTGGCGTGGGCATCATGGGTCGACGCACGACCTGTAGACGAGGTCGCCTCGGTCGCACTCCCAGGTAGAGGCCCTGGGGAAGACGATGATCTCGCTGCATCCTGTAGCAGTCCTGCGCCAGCTGCCTCTCGTCCCGAGGCTGGTGTCCAAGTTGGGGTCGTCGTCATCGAAGCACGTCTCGAAATACTCGGTGCCCCGACTCTCGAGGTCCACTCTGGCTCGGCCCCCGCTCTGCTGGAAATGCTGGTCGCCGTCAATGATCCACGCCACGCCCGCGCTGCTGCTAGCGCGAGCCCCCCGTGGATTGCACGAATCGCACCGATGTGGAGATGATGGAAGAGCGTCAGCTCTCGGGGGAGCTGACGACGACACTTGGCAGCTGCTCTTGTGGGCGTAGAGGTGGCCGACGCGGAGCAGGCTGCTGCGCTTGCCGCATTGCCGGCCTCGTTGCTCTATCCCCCCTGAATCCCTCGCCGCGCAGCTGCTTCGTAAGTTTGGCGTCCTCCTCGATGAGCTGCCTCATCGTGCCCACGGGTAAGGTGTCCTCGCTGTCGATAAAGTGCCCCATGCAGCCTGTGGCGCGGTGTCGGAGCTGCCGCACTAGACGGACTCGAATGCGAAAGTCCGCGCCACACGCCCTGCACACACTGCCCACGGCAAACCTCTGTGCGTCGACGTGAGGGAGGTGGGCCTTTGTCCTGTGGGCACGCATGCTGGCCTCGGTGGAAACGACTTCCTCGCAATCGTAACATACGTACACTTTCCTTTGCTCGATGCTGGCGCTGGTGACGGCGTCGATGTCCCGATGGTGGTCGCGGCTTTCTAGGCACCGTTCCTGTGGATGCTCCGATGCGATTCTGCTGCGCCTCCAAATGTCGCGCTTGCACTGCTCCACCAAAGTCCTCTTATATTGCTCGAATGTTTTGCGCGCGACTTTCGCCATTGCCTTGGGCCCACTCTTGCGCAGCGCGACCCACCCTGGCAGGTCTTCAGCCGACACCACCGCAGAAAGGTCGGCCCTTTTGGCGTCGTAGTGCACCTTGCTGTCTGGGATCTGTTCGGACGCCTTCCGATTGTACCCGGCTGAGGCGGCAGCTCGGTAGCCCTTGGCACGGGCCGCCTGCAATGTCTTCTTGTCGCTGATGATCATCCCACTCCACAACTCCGCCTGGTAGGTCAGCCTGGCATTGTTGAGCGCGTCCACATACTTGGCATTTCTTTTCTGGCTCGGCACGTGCGCACTTGATGACTGATCTCTTGATGGGTCAAGCGCTCGCCGATGCGCCTGGATCCTGCATTGTACCTCTGGGCCCCACGCTCCATCACAGCAAACCATCGTACCCATGTGCTTGTAGGTGTAGACGACGTCGATGCCGATGTCCCAGGCGGTGGTGACAACCTCCGTGCAGTCTCCGTAGAGGTGGTTGCGGATGCGTTGCGACTGGGGCCCGTGCGCCGTCACTAGATAGGCTGTCTTGGCTGGGCCGAGGTTAATGTCCATCGCATGCGTCTTGAAAGCCTCGTAGACGATGTCACCCAAGGTCTGCATCTTGACCAGCAGATGGGACACGCCCCTGGCTGACGTGGAGAAGGTCGTGTCGTCCGCGCATGTGATGTCGTCCATGTCTCGTGGCACGTGAGCGCCCTCTATATACGCGGTGGCCTTCTCTGCGTCGACGTGCTCGTCAAGGTGGATGCCGAGGCATGCCCGCTTCATCGCCTCTCTGATTTTACCGAGTGGTCTAGTAAATGCCAGTGATAACAAGAGGTCCGCTGGCGGTGATCCTGGCCGAGTCCCTCTGATAGAAGTTCCTGTTGAGGCCTGCCCTGGCATGTTGAACCACGTCATCCGCCGCGCCTCCGCGGCAAGGGCAAGTAGATGTTCGTCGAGGCAGCGCTGCCCGAGCAAGGCTGGCTGAGCGCGGACCTCCTCAAGTTATGGCCGCAGTGCCTCTGGAATCTGCTGGATGTTAAGGATGGTGTCGATGTCGTTCTCGTGCTGCGGTACTGCAATGATGAGCTGTCGGACAATCCTGTAGAAAGCGGCCCTTGAGGTCCACAAACAGGAAGTCGACTGTTTGGCCAGACGCTCGAGCCAATTGCTGCAGCAACCCCACTTGATGCGTAGCCATCGATGTACTGCGTCCTTTGATGCCGCCGACCTGGCTGTCGCACAGTATCAGGGCTGCGACTTCGCGAAGACGGTTCCGAAGGAAAGCATAACGGTGCTTGGCCAACGCGTTGCATAGTGCAATAGACCTGCACGCGTCCTGGCGGGTGGCATTCGACTTCCTTGTCGGGGGTTCCGCCAGGATGGCGTGTTTGAAAGCAAGAGGCTCCTGGAGGCGCAGGGAGATTTTGGCGCATACGGCATGGGCCTCCGCTGCATGTCGGGCTGGGT